CTCATCTCTTACAAGGATCCATTAATCCAACTGAGCACACGCCATAGCAATGCTCATGGAGAGCCTGGTAAAGGGAACCCACGGACAAGTCAAGCCATACCGCACAGTATTGGTTCCCGTTCCATTGACGATGAAGGCAGACTTATCTAAAGATAGGAGGTCAAACAGGAACGCTAGAAATTGCCCTGTCTGTAGTTATTCTTTGCCTCGAGACGACGTTACTCGAGAAGGAAGACTGTGTGAACCCAGCTTCTTCGCTTCGATTTATCCCTTCCTCTTCCCTCATACTGCAACAATGTTCCTGACACCTGAATTTCACGAACTTCCCTCTTCCTTGGGAAGTCAAGGGTCTTTTGAAGGTGCAGCCCAATCTCTGCCTCATTTGCGCGAACCTTCTTCACTTTGTGTTCGTAGTGACCCTTGCGCATCTGTCAGTGGCAGGTCTGCGCGGACGAAATCACATCAAATCCCGAACAACGGTCAATTTATTCAGCTGAACGGTGGTGGTTTGCCATGTTGGAGATTGCAAAGGCAATCAATAACCTGACAGAGAGGAATGTGGAGAATGCAGGAGGGAAATTAGTAAAAAATCACTGGCGATCCCTCCGTAAGTCGTTATGATGCCAAATCGGAATTCCAATGCCCGCCTTAGATGGGAGTCTGGAGTCAGAAGAAAAAGCGACGAACCTCAAAGGGATTGAAGTTCACCGAGATGTCATTGAATCAGGATGCAGTTTGATTTTTATTTTTGGTTTTTTGTTGAAACTTCAATAGCCTAGCTTAACGTTTCACAGGAATTCAGTGAAAGGCTAAAGGTAAAAAGCTAGGGCTTTTGACTATCTTCACATTAAAGCTATTAGTATTAGTACGACACCCGATTGTCGATTGTTTGTCAACAAGGCTTCTCCTTCTTTTTCTTCTCCCTAACACTGATCTCGCTCCATCGCAAGATCCACTTTTCTGTAAGTTTACTCCTTTTTCTCCCATCTACAACATATTTTTCCTTTAGCTTTGCTTCGGCGAGATCCTTCTTGATCACGCCTTGCCACTACTACTCCGTTCATGGACGTTGTATGCTGATGGCATTGGTCCAGAAACTTGGACTAGTCTCAGCGACCAAGATACTTGCTTTGCTGCGCTTCGAACCCCACTGCAACCCCCATCGGATGATCCTGTGCCTTTTCGGTCGTCTGTCAACATGGTTCTGAGTGAAATCAAAGGCTAAAAAGGAGCCTCAGCGACCAGGATCAACGTGGAGCTACAAATAAAGCGTGCAAGGAAAGNNCGTAGCTGAATCGAAATTTTAGGAAAAGGGAGACGGAGAGCTAATGAAGGAGGAACGAATTGAAGTGAGAACCAAGTAAACCTCTATAGTGCCCACCCTGAAGAGCAGGCCTCAACTTGAAAGCAAAGATTGAACCATTGTCGATCCGGCTTGCGAATCCTGTAGCAATACATTGAGCCTACGGTCTTGGAAAGGCTGATCTATTCAATTAAGGATGCCAAAAAAATGTGGGCCTCATCTACTAACAAAAGCCATTCCAAATAAAATGCTGTCATTAACATTAACCTCTTTTGTCATATTTCATTAAGATAGTCATCGAACTGTCACACGACCGGTGAAGATGAAAGGTGAACTTCCTCTTCACTGAATCCAATTATCACCAGCCTTGGTTTCCGGCAAATCTTGAGAAGAACTGTTCGTGACGGCTTATGATGGGCTAGGCAAGTCTGGGCGGAAGTTCATCATAACCACGGACGGTTTTCTGTCTGTGCCATTTTGACGACTACGTCAAGAAAGAAAGCAACCGTCACTGGGGAAGCGAGGTGTCACGTTAGTTCTTCGATGGTTACAACGATAATTGAATGACAACACTCCATGGCAAAAAGACCATCAATCAAAAAGCAAAAAGACCATCATCATAAACCCATGCTCTACGTGGCCCAAATAATATTCGACAACTTTTGTCAGAAAAAGAGCCGTATTCGCTCAGTTCGCAGTCGTCCGACTACAGTTGTTTTTCAGTCAGTCGAAGGCCCATTTAATGGTAATGGTTAACAGTAGAACAACGAAACGACTATCAAACTGTCTCATCTCAACTTCACAAAGAAGACAAACACCTTGATGACCGGTTACATCCGAGACGCTGGTTCGTCGGAAACAATGAGAACTAGTGAATCGGCCAATGAAATGTTACCATTCTACCTAGTCTCCTGTCCGTTATTGTAAATACCTTCCAAACTTGTTGAATGGCCTAATAAGCACACAGGGTGCTTCAACAACAGATTTTTGATAATTTTCTACAAGAACCAAATATAAAGGGTAAAGTCTTTTGGCGCTAATCAATCAAGTCTGAGGGTTGCGCCCTGCATTCGACGTCCATTCAGGATCATGGTGGCTTTTTGAATGCGTATTTGGCCTATACAATGACTTGCGGTGACCCGCTGATGTACAATTCAGTACCTTTATCCTCCCAGACGAGTCTGGTACCAATCAACCGACCCTGCAGGGACGGAAGACTTGGTTAGCTTAGGCATTTATCCGGGATTTGATACCGTAACAATGCGTGTGTGAAGTGCGCCACTTGCCACTACACCACATCTGCCCTAACAAATGAACCTATTATAATTAGAGTTATGGCAAAAGCATGATTTTATATCGCAAAAGTAGTCCGAAAAACCAGAAAAGCAACAATTTGTGGCCGGGAAGCATAAAACGGGGCACTGGTCAATACCGTCTCGTAATTTATCATTTTACTTTCAAAAATTGGTTTTCTGCGTTGGACAAAGTTTCTGAACAAAGTAAAGCAAATAGAGAGGATCAGTTTGTGGATGACTAGAAGGAATGAACCAGGAAATTAGCTGCAGTTGACAAAAAAAGACAAAATAATAAAGATAGGGACTAACCTTTCAAGTACGTGTATGACCCGTTCAAGGAGGTACGGTGCTAACAGATCACCAGACGCTTCAAGCGATGCTCCAAAAATTTCCAGTGACAGTAAGGACACCTGAAACAGGAAATTTTCGATTTTTTTTGCAATCGCTAAATCCCCCAATCAGCTGAGGATTGCTGAAGGCTTGGCGATGCGCTGTACTTCGTCATGAAGTGTCTCAAATTTCAGAGCATATGACCCTCAAAACGAAACGCTGATGGGTTCGCATGAACACGCGATAAGAATCGTTGTGGAGAATTTAACGGCTTTTCAAATTACCATCGGAACCAATTGTAATTGCTTTTTCAAAGTCAGCGATCTAGATAAGTTGAATGAATCATTAACCTCTCCAAATTGCTTGTGTTGCTTGGCATCATCTGCATCATCAATTCCCCTACTCGTAAAAACCTAATGAAGAGGAATGAAGAAGACACGTGTTATGACACCCGCCCTCCATGGTGAACTCGTCCTTTACTATGGAAGAGTTTGAGGGGAAAATCTGCCGAAAATTTCACAAAAATCCAAGTTTCTTGAGAACCATTTTCGGAATGTGTCTCCAGATTTCTTGAGAGCCAGTTTTGAAAGGTTCCACTATGAAAGGACACTACTCATTTGTATGCACATAACATATTAGGAAATTTTATGATACCTAATCGTTTGACCAGATCGAGGCTTAGTTTTCCTTCCGTTTCTGACCGGGAAACGTCTTAGCGAGGTGGGCACAGATTCTCCTAGAAAGGGTTTGAGGCCAAATGCTCGAATTTCGATGGCTTTAGTCAGCGTAGTGGCCGGATTCGAACTTACGAAGAAGTACGCGTCGAATGTGGGGAAGCAGTTTAGTTATTATATGGTTAAGTAAGCAAAGAAGAAATAGCTAGACATATTATACGTATAGCCTAGGCAGAGTCGTTAATAGACATCTATGTAGATTTTCAAGAATCCCAGCCTAAATCTTAAAGTCTTAGAGCGTTGATCAATCCAGCTTGAGGAATGCGCCCCGCATTCGACTTTCATAATCGTAGCGCACATTGGATGCGTTTGGTGCCTACATAACTGAGGTGGCCACCACATGTGCAAGTCACTGCTTTTATTCTCCCAGACGAGTCTAGTACCAACTAACCGATTCCGGAAGGTAGGAGGTTTGCTTGGTCAAGGCGGATATCGATACGGAATTTGAACCCTGGACTATGTGTGTGAAACAGTGCGTAACCACTACCCCTCCTCGCCCATATTACAATATAGTGTAATGTTAAGGAAAAGTTTTTCGGACAAGAAAATGGATCAAAGTGCAGGTAAAAGTTTTACTCTTAATTATCGAATTTCTGCAATTTTCACTCGATTCTTTTTACAAGCAGAAATGTTTCAATTTTCTGTTTTCAACAGTTTTTTTTTTGATTTTTTTGAAAATATTGTCACTATCTCCATTCATTCACTCTCTTTTTATGCAGCGACTGTAGGCCTACTACGATCACTGTTTTTGAAGCCTGCGGGAGCCAAATGGGGCAGGGCAACGGTTAATGGACATGTTGAATAGCTGCTGCTGTACACCCCGAAGGTGGGCAAAAGCCACTTCTCAACCGTGAAAATCTCCGGAACTAGAATTGCGTCACAAAAACAAAAACATACACAAAAACTTGCAGTTTATGTTCAACATTACAGCTTTACATTTTTTGCGTTCAGCTTGATGTAAAGTCAGGGCCTCCGCCTCATTTGAAAGAGTGATAGGGTCCGGAAAAACATGGCGGAAGCCATGGAAGTTCGCATGTCGCTATCCTTCATGGATGACGAGTATAAAGCATTCCAAACGCATTACTACGTGAACGTGTGTGCTCCATTCGAATAGAATAATCGACAATTGTTTGCTGCTTTGATTGATTTTCAAAAGAAAAGCGGAGCTCCCAGGCAAATCGCACAAAGAACTGCAAACATGACCAGCAGAACATCTTTATCTGCTCGGGTTTTCTTCTGCGAACCGAAATTTCAAAAGTCCATCTCGACTGAAATTCAGACCAGGCGGAACAGCTGAAACCGATTCCTTTGTTTTCTTTTGGAAGTCTTTCCATCACAATTTTTGAACATAAAATCGCTTCGGCTAATAAATTCTCCACTTGAACTCCACAGCCATCCTTGAGCACTGTGTCGTCTGGGACCCATTAAGAAGAAGTGAATCCACAGACCCCTTTCATAGGCACCTCTTTTGCTCCAGAGAATTCTCAGTTCATCGCCTCTTTGGCATGATTAATGAGGATTACTCCTCTTTCCCTCTCTATGCTCGTATATCACACTGAACCTCTTTCGAGTTCATTTTCGTCTCTAGACGAGGCCACTCCACTCTGAAGGGCCCTAATTCGAAAGAGTAAGCTGATGGGTGAAGAAAAAAAAGCTCAAAGGGAATTCTCTGTATGCCTTCCGCTCAAATATGGATGGAGAAAAGTTTCGGGCTTTTTTCGATTTAGTTGAGATCCTTAATGCAAGGATGAAACACCGACAACAGGGTGGGGCAGTGCCGAGATCCGCCCCTACCGCACATGTGGTTTGGGGATCAAAGCATGGGTGGAAGCCCGCACATGCGAATCGATCTTCACTTATCTCCTAGACCGATTGACTGACTTGTAACAGAATTCTTTCGGAGGATAAAAACAATGACTTTCACATAGGCTGCTCCCTTTCCCAAGTCATTGCTTCGTGTCAATGAAATACGCATCCAACATCCAGGCGATTCCGAATGGAAGTCGAGTACGTGGCGCACTCCATGAAACTGGTTGAATGAGAACCAAATGATTATCTTTTTATCACTTCATGAACAAAAAACCGGAACGTAACCATCAAATCAGTTTCAACTGGTCGTTTCACAATCTGGTAACCTTCATCTACAAACGCAAATGACAGTAACCAGTTTCTATGGCCTCTGACCAAGTATGGGCATGCTCCTGGGTGCACTCAGGTATTAAACAGAACTCGTTCAACGGCAAACTTCTGCAAGAACAATTGCGGACACATGTTTCTCGCCTCGCTTCTCTTGAAACCCCCGATTTCGCCCGGTTCAGCAAGCAAAATGTGCCAAACACACTTTCTAGACATTCACGTAAACATGAAAAATCAAAGTAACCCATTTTCGAACAAATTCTCCCATTGAAATTGCCCAAAGTACTGAAGATAATTGCTCTGTTGAGGTGGGGAATTGTTGAGCCAACTCTGAAGGCTAGAATTTTGATTGATTCCTCCCCATTTCCACCCCCTGCACAAACAAAAGCGCTCTCCCGCTTCCGAAACAGTTGAAGAATTCTAATTTTCGTTCTTTTTTCTCGTTGGACGGCCCCAGCTGACAGAGTGGGAGTAACAGTGGCTCCATGGGGAAGCGCTCAGTTCAGGTTCCAATCGTGACCAGGTAATGGCGAAATCTCTACAGTATAAGTAAGGTTTTCCAGTAGCAATAAGATTTTTCTGTCGGTTACCACCAAGGGGGCGAAAACCTGCAAAGCCTGTCCGCATTTCTTGGAACATGAAAGATGGGAGTAAATGAGGCGAGAGCTTTCGGAAATTACATGTGACACATTGTCGCCATGGCGGAACGAGGGGATGGATGTGACTATCGGAACGAGGACATAACTGTTTTTGCCCATCAGATCCTCATTAACCGCTTTCTGTACGTCTCACAGTTCCTTTTTAGAAAGCTTTCTTTAAAGTGATCCATACCATGACCAACGTGGACGGGGTGAGGAGGACGCAGACGATCCTCCTGCTAGAACAAACAACTCATTCACGATAGGGTAAAAAGAGCAACTGGTTTGGGCAGAATTCGACCCGTGTAGCCCCAGAGTAAGCGAGATCCATTCAAGTACCGTCCCCCTCTCTCCGCTCCAAGCTACACTTCGACTCGATAAATCAGACAGAGGTGTATCTAACCAAAGAGGAACTGAGCCACGAGCAAAAGCTTAGCTTAGTGTGGGATACTAACTTGGGACCAATGAAACATACTATTAGAAGATAAGGACGGTACTTGGTGTCCAAGTTGAATTTGAAGTAAGAGATCAGGTACGGGGAAGCGATTGTGGCGAAGGGGTGGGGAGGGGGGGTCTCATTCGTCCATTCATAGCAGGGAAATTTCCCAAACAAAAATGTAAAATTTGTTCTCTTTTTACTACCCCCTACTCCTCCTCCGCCGTTAACAGGACGTCGTTCATCGTCTCCAGAGTGTCTAAAAGCCGAGATAACAAGTATGGGCAAAGCAAAAGGGTGGACGTTTCACCTGGAAGAGTTGAAAAGGTAGGGGAAGGCCGCATTAGCATGAAAATAAGGCTTTCCAAAAGAGGGGGAGCGGGAAGGTTGTATTGATAAGCAACTACTCATGGATTTGATCCTATGAGGGCCTAGATAGTGCCTAATCGAAGCCTGAAAGCTCTGAAAACCAGTGGGTTCAGATTTGAGCGATTCACAGAACAAAATAAAAAAAGGCTAATTGAATTTCATGTTCAGTGAAGCCCCCAGTTTAACCAGTTCCGGTGATATTACGGCATAATTTCAAAGCAGTTTTTATGCGGACAAACCAGAGCACGAGCAGACCGCCGTGGCACTATGATTGATCAGATCACATAGAAAACATGAATCCGCCATAATTCATTCAAACACAAATCATCCTATTTCGGAGTTTTTCTACGGCAACAATGGGAATTACCGGCGGAAGATCAGACCTTGGACTTGTCAAAGTGGTCAGCAGAATCCCATTAAATCGGGGTCGATAGCGATTCAGACGGAGACGATCACAGAAAATTCAAAACGGTTTAGAGATGTTGAGGAAAAGAGGAAATTGCCGTATAGACAGCTATTCCTCTGGAATTCAGGAGAGAAACGGCATAAGGGTTATCAGGTGAAAATAAACAACAAATAATAATAAAAGTAATAAATACTGATTATGTAAAAGTGAAAATCGGCAAAATACTTGGAATTTTCGAAAAGGTGGCGGAATGGAACAGAAAGCGTAAGATTCGTTGTAAAACAGGACGAAATAAAACCAAAAATTGATCGTCTTCGTATTCATTTCCTTGGGCTCCTATTCCATCGATTGATTTTTCAACAAAAATCAATAGGTCTTAGACATATACATATCGATGAAAAAAGAAAAATTCTGATATTTAACAAGTCCGTTTCCAGTAGACGCCCTGCACTCGACTTCCATACAAAATCGTGGTGATGTTTTGATGTGTATTTGACCTGTACAATGAGTTGCGATGCTCAACCAATATACAAGTCAGCGCCTTTTAGTCTTGTAGACGAGTATAGACCCAATTCTGTGACCCCGGGAGAATAGAAGGCATGGTTTTTCTGAGCGAATATTGATACGGTATTCGATCACGGATCTCTGAGTGTGAATTAGCGCCAGTATCCACTACCAACTATGCCAATAAATAATAAAAACAAACAATACAAGTATTTCTATCAATCAATACTTTTTGAAAAAGAATTTGATTGCTTCACCCTTTGGATCAGCGAAAAACCTGCATAGGAAAGAAGCCAATACCACATGAAATTCTGCAAGCCCTAGGCTTCATCACTGATATCCATATCAATCGTATAGTACTCGTATTTTCATAAACATCAACTTTTTGGGACTTTTTTGGGATTGTCAACTTGGTCATTGGGAAGTCCAGTGGGGAGCGTAAAATGGGTAATCTGACCTCACTCAACTAGACTGACTTTCGTAGCTCTTTCTGAGTAAAACGAGTAAAGAGAGTAAGACGTGGAAAGCAGAAGAGATCAGACACTCCCATATTCCTCGAAGAAAGCCAAAGCAATGACTTAACCGACCAGAGCTGGGTTTTTGAACCCTAAGAACTCAGTCTGAGCCCATTGTTGCCTACTCGAAGTAAGTTATCTGCCATCCAAGCAGACTGAGAGAATCCCATCCCCAAGGTATCGCAAAAAGACCAAAAGCTTCCCGAATTGCTTCGATTCCTGCCAGTCTTCCTATCATTTATTCATAGCTTCATGTGGGAATAGAGAAACGAGAAATCATCTATTCAGTGACTTTAAGATTAGGGCTTGGATTGGAATATCTGGTCCAGAGCCGTTGGGCAGAGTCTGAATGCGAGGGATTCAATTTGCGGGCCAAGGAGGTTTTTCGGCATCAGCTTTAGCAGAAGGTGCAGTCAGCTTGATTGTGATTTCAGTCGCTTCCAAAATCCGATGGTCTCCAGTGGTACCCGGTCGCTCAGGGTCTAACCAAATTAGGCCGTCGTACCAAGTACCAGTGGTTTCCACGCACTATTGAAACAGCCCCGAGGAACGCGATGCAGAGCCGGATAGCCCGATCGTTTGACGTTTCATATAGCCCTGTCGAAGGATAACAAACTCCAGCTGGTGCCAGATCGCTGTGGATGAAGTAAAAACGCATTCCCCACCGACTTCCCATATTTGCCCTGGGGATGCTGTGTAATTACGTATCTCTCGTTTCATGTGGTGCCGTCGTTGTCGTCAGAGTGAAGATCGATATGAACATGGTTGTCAACAGCAGTTCATTTCACTGACACCCTCCATTTAACTAACGCCAAAACACCCTGCAGATGGAGCCAGGCGAACAGGGCCATCCACCGCTGATAATGGAAGCCAAGCATTTTTCTAAACACTGAATTAGAAGGGTATCTCAAATTTCATTGGGGGTACAAAAAGGATGAAATTCCACGCAATGATCGTCTCCTTTCGGGGTTCCCACGCATCGACTTCTTGCCAGAAACGTAGGGACTTTTGAATGAGCCCGTGGCTTATACACAATGGCGAGCCCCGTGACCCATTGTATAGTCCAACTGCGCCGTTCGAGAGGCGTTTTTTACGACCCATACATTTCAGCTCTTCTAACTTCCCAGACGAGTTTGGGGCTATCCTACTAGCCCTATAGGAACGGAACGCTTGGTTGGGAACTCAGCTGGATGCCCAGTCAATACTTCTCCTTCCTAGTAACCGTAAAAGACCGGAAAGACCGGAAAAGTCATTCTAGGCAACGAGGAATATGAAAAAAATGTACAAATTTTGCAAAATTTCTTTCATAATTCCTGAACCTTCGGCATATTTTTCAAGAAAATTGCACAGAACCAATTTCTTATGCGAAAACTGCCAGGCAGCTGATTGGCATCGAAAGGGAAACGAGAACAGAAGGACTGATTTGCATGAAAGAACAAACAATCGCCAAGAATGTCAACCAACCTTATAATTGCTGCTAGCCAGCCATTGAAATAGCACATCACAGAATTCGTTGAGAATCTTCGAATCAGACGGTAAACGGTTGATGGCCAAATGATCGAGCAACTCACGACCAAGTTCGAGTCGAACTCGAGGGTCAGAGCCATTTCGCTCGAGCACTTGGGATAACCACGACATAGTCAGGGTCAGCCGTTTAGGATCATAATCACAATTATGACGAGCTACGGATAAGGAATACTACTGAGTAAGCCAACGGAAGAGTAATGACAGCTATTCCGCTGACGATAACAGCGACGGCGACGGCGAGGTGACGACGACGACGACGACAACGACGACGGCGAGGAACGACAGACGGACGGCTCTATTGGATTTGCCTGACGAACGGGCCTCCTCTGCGTCCGCCGCACCCCCGCGGACTGAACCTCCCTATCTCTCATGGTCTGCCTCTCGCTCTCTCACCTGACCGGTAATGTCATCTAGTTTCAAGCGACAATTTCTCCTGTTCACAGCTGGACCTCCTGCCAGCTGGTGGTGGAGGTGGAAATGAAATGTATGTGTCGGCCTCTGAGGACATTTGACAAAGCGCAGGAAACAAATTGCTGATATACGAGCTCGTTTTCGTAATTGCTTGCGTTAGAAGAAACAGCCAAGAGACAGCTCATGGGGAGCGTTGCGAGGTTCGAACCAACCAGTTCGATGTTGGGTTTCCAAGTTGAATGAAGGAACTCGCCGAAGAGCTTGTCGAGAGGGAAAAAGAACACTCCCGACTTCCTTCTCATCTCGTTCTCCTATTCAAAGATCTGGAATGCTCGGGCGCGTTTCATTTCTTAAGGAGGCTTTTCGAAAGGAAGACCTTCCTGAGGCTTTCGGCCGATGTTGATTGCAGATGGGGATGGAAAGGTGATGTAGGAGGAAGTTCATTATCACATAGGCACGTCCAGGGTTCAGATCCCAGATCGATATCCATCTAGGCCAACCACGCCTTCATCCTTCCGGGATCGGTTAGTTGGTACCGGACCCCTCTGGGAGGATGAGAGCACTGACTACAGCATAGGCTTGCCACCCCAAGCCGTTGTATAAGCCCAATCCATATACGCATTCGATACGCCACTATGATTTCCAATGGAAGTCGAATCTAGGGGATGGGCGAAGGGGTGAGGGGGGGGGGGNTTCATCCTTTATTATCCCGACAATTAATTGTTAGTCTCTAGCTGCTGCGCTCCTGAATAGGGGCAAGATCAGTTCCCACCGATCATTGTTTGTTGCCCTATTGCTATTAATGTAATATTGTTTGAACTCCCTCCTTCTGAGGATCCTTAGAGGTTCCTGTAGAATTTTTTGAAACATTTCGGATATTTATGGGTAGGTTCGGGGAACATTCCAAGAAATGTTTACCAGCACTACCATCTATACGAAACCCGTTCGAAAATGCAAATACCGTCTGGGAAAAGCCGAACAATCATCTCAGAATACAGCTTACTATTGAAAATAGAGTTTCACGTTTCTCTCAGTCCATTTTAGGGCTTGAAATAGTAAGAATAAAAAGCCCAAGCATAAGATAAACAGCTTTTTTGGATATTCTGCGAAAAGATCTAGTGGTAAGTAAAACTTTTCGAAACTTTTTGTTCCGCACTTTTCTAGGTTTTCCCAAATAACTTATTTGTTTAAATTGGAAAAGAGTTCTTTCTATAGAGCAGGTTTACAGAGTGGCTAGCTTTCAAAGCTTTTCGGATTCTAATGCCTTCAAGCCCCATCTAATTGTCCCCCAATAAAAATTATTTGCCTGTTAGGAGAAAAAAAACATTTAGAATGCCCTATGAAATGTTATGAATGTGAATGAAGGCTAAGGTGGTGTTGTGGCATGGTGCACTATCGCATACATGGTTCGAGGATCGAAACTCGCCTAGGCCCACGAGTCTTCCCTCCGTTCGGGTTGGTACTCTGTGAAGACTCGTCCAGGAGGATGAAATCGCTAATTTTGACATCGGTTAGCCACCGCAATTGTGTAGGCCACATATGCATTCAATCGCCATTACTATTCTGAATGAACGTCAAATGGTCGGTGTATCCTGAAAAGGGATTTATCAGCACGGAAAGATTTTGTCGCCGATTAATATAGATTTGAGGACACCGCTTTTAACTTTTTCTCTCCGTCAGGTGATAAAGGGGCATGGAAAAATCAGAAATTAGGTCTGGCGTATGAGTTGAAGAACTGCGTTGTTGGTTGCTAGGCAGCTGCGAGTACGCTTAGAACCCTTCACTTCCTTACACCACTGCAAATCCGATTCTGCTTTAACTCTTGCAAAATCTGCATGTCTAGGGAAAGGCATCGTTCCCGAAGTAATGCCAAACCAACAGGAACGCCGGAGCCGAAAAGAAAAGAGTAAGATCTACACCATTTAACTAGGCTTCCTGTTTCTCTTAGAATCATTTTCCTAGATCCAAATCTGTGGAACGAACCAAAGAGATTTTGAATGACTCCAACAAAACCCATCATCGCTCCAAATCAAAGTCGTAAGTTCATTTTCTTTTGGATTATCACGAAGGTACGAGTTTTTTGTTACCGTAACCACTTTGTACTTTCCAGAAAGGACACGGACTCCATTAAGCATAGGAAAACGGACGAAAAGAAATCTAAGTCCAGCTCAGAATCAAAGAAATCAAAGGTTTTCCTTTTACTGTTTGTCTTTTTTCATTTTCTCTTGCAATCAAAGGCTATTTGTGATTTAGAGCGAAAAGTCGTCAGTAAAAGAAAAACACACTGAAAAGGAGTCGAAAAGGAAAGAGGAAAAGAAAAGGATTCCGAGTCCGGAACCAGTCGTGCAGTTGGCTGAAACCTATGAAGACGACTTTGAAGAATATGAGGTAGACTTCTATTTACTAGGCCCAATGGGGGGTAATAAAGCCTTTGATGTCTTGGCATGAACCTATCCTAGCACATTAGGGTATCCAACGGAACTATTCTGGGCATTACAAGTGAAAATTCTAAATAGAACAGGATTTCTGTACTTTATCCTCTAGTCTCCAGAAAGATTTATACTTTTTTTAAAAGCGGGCGAAAACGCTCTCTCATGTTCAAGAAGTTCGTAAGCCCGCTTTTCCCCTTTGAACAACGTCCCTTCACTTTGGAAATAGCTAGAACAAACACGTTTTCCATTGAAAAATCTTCAGATTTTTCCGCAGGACATTTGTAAAGCCCATTTACCAATAATATTTTTAAGGATGACTTTGAAAGTGACGATGAAGATGACGAAAATGTCATTCGCCCTCCAGTTGCCAGTAATGAACGTCCAACTACTACAGTTTCCTCCTCATCGGCTTCATCTGAGAAAGCAAACGAGCCAGTACAGCGGATGCCTTCCGAGCCATCTCCTCCACCAAAAAAAGAGGTTCCATTTTGTGGAATTTTTAGGAAAAAACTTAATCAATAAAAGAAAATGACGTTACAGGCCGAGAAGACTATGACTCCGATTCCGCCACTGACAGAGGAAACTCCTTTGTTGAGGAGATTGGCGACACGACAGGGTGGTCGGGCACCTGATTCTGTGGTACCTCAGACAATGGCATCGAGTGCAAAAGTACGTTTAATATCTTTGATATCAAAGGAAGTCGGAGCCTTCTTTCCCTACCGATTCGAACGCTTCTATATGGTTTTTCCTTTACTTTCAAACTCAAATTTTCCTAATAAACTCAATTCTATTCGGATTTTAGAGCTGCCTTCTCCGAAAATAATACTAGGGTGGATGAGCATTCAAACAGCCTGCTTGTGTGATTCATGTTCGTTCTAGCTCCCCCTATCCTATCCGAATAAGCAATTACCGCCCCATCTGTTACAGATTGCGCAACACAGGATTCGATCCCCGAATAAAACTTACTGGTTCCGAACCATTTACGGTGTCGTGTTTAAATGACGCCCAAACTGGATTTATTCCAACAGTGAAGCAAGCTCCCGCTTTGGGTTACGGAATCTGGAACTGCTTATCGGAACAAACTCCCTCACAAGGGTTACCTAGCTCAGGACTAATTTCAGCGCCAACTCTCAAACATGGTGGGAGCTGACGGAGTGAGAAGAAAGACGTATACCTCCACAATTTTTCTCGTGCTCAAGAGATAATCAAAAAATAGAAAGCATCCCATCGTCGACTTTGAGCTCTTAAAAAGCGAAAGTGAAAGATAATAGATAGACACTGGCTTTGATCAATCCCGTTTCAGACATGCGCCCCGCTTTCGACTTCCATTCACGATAGTAGTTACGTTTTTGATGCATATGTGTCCTATACAATTGACTTGCTGTCAACGTACGAGTCAGTCAGTGCCTTTGCCCTCCCAGACGAGTTTCGTACCAATTAACCAACCCTGGAGGGACGGATGACTTGGTTGGCCTAAGCGACTGCCGATCAGGGATTCGATCCACGGACCACGCATGCACGATAGTGCGCCACTTTTCAATGCACGAGCTCCGCCCATAGATAGAAATAACTAATAATATAAATCTTTTTCTCAACCAATAATTTTTAGCAGAGAATCCGGTACCTTGACCCCTTGGATTAGTGTGCGTCTCCGGCCACCGCACTACTTCAGCCCAAAAAATCGGAAATGATCGGAAATAAAATATGAAAAAATCTCTTTGGATCTTTTTCTTGGGCTATCTTTCTAGCCAGTAAATGGTCTCGTAATGGTCTTCTATGAGTGTCGTTGATTCAGTCTCTTTTTCCACAGGTGGCACGGATAGCATCGGCTGAACGACGGATTGACTTCACTAGTGCCAGTGCTCAGCCCACCATTGCTCCTGATACCTTCTCGGAGATGGATGAGCGTTATCGAAAGCTGAGAGAACTTGTCGGTACGTTTTTTTT